TAGCAGCAGGAACCCAACAACAACCTAACCCAACCTAACCTAACCTAACCTAACCTAACCTAACCCAACCTAACCTAACCTAACCTAACCTAACAACCCAACCTATACCAACCCCTCTGACCTACCCTCACACACCCCACACACACACACGACATCACTCTCTCACACACACACACACACACAACACACACACACACACACACACACACACCCTCTCTCCACACACACACACACACACAAACTCTCTCTCACACACACACACACACATCACCTCTCCACACACACACACACACACACATACGACACATCACTCTCTCACACACACACACACACACACACACACACGACACATCACTCTCTCACACACACATACGACACATCACACACACACACATACGACACATCACTCTCACATACACACACACACACACACACACACACACACACTTCCCTCTCTCACACACACACACACACACACATACGACATCACTTCTACACACACACACACATCACACAGCCAGTCAACGCCTCCCATGTCCCGTAAGTCTTCCTTGGCCCACCTAGCTCCTCCATGGTCCACTAGCTCCCCCATGGTCCACTAGCTCCCCATGGTCCACTAGCTCCCATGGTCCACTAGCTCCACCCATGGCCCACTGCTCCCCTCCATGGTCCACTAGCTCCCCCATGGTCCACTAGCCCCCCATGGCCACTAGTTCCCCCATGGCCCACTAGCTCCCCCATGGTCCACTAGCCCCCATGGTCCACTAGCCCCTCCATGGTCCACTAGCCCCCATGGCCCACCAGTTCCCCATGGTCCACTAGTTCCCCATGGTCCACTAGCTCCCCCATGTCCACACCAGCCCCCATGGTCCACTAGCTCCCCCATGGCCCACTAGCCCCCCCCATGGCCCACCAGTTCCCCATGGTCCACTAGCTCCCCATGGTCCACTAGCCCCCCACGCCCATCAGTTCCCCCATGGCCCACTAGTTCCCCCATGGCCCACTAACTCCCCCATGGTCCACCAGCCCCCATGGCCCACTAGTTCCCCCATGGTCCACAGGCCCCCCCATGGCCCACTGCCCCCCCCATGGCCCACTAGCTCCCCCATGGTCCACTAGCCCCCCATGGCCCACCAGTTCCCCCATGGTCCACTAGCCCCCATGGTCCACCAGCTCCCCATGCCCACTATCTCCCCCATGGTCCACTAGCTCCCCATGGCCCACTAGTCCCCCCATGGTCCACCAGCTCCCCCATGGCCCACTAGTTCCCCCATGGCCCACTAGCCCCCATGGCCCACTAGTTCCCCCATGGTCCACTAGTTCCCCATGGTCCACTAGCTCCCCATGGTCCACTAGTTCCCCATGGCCCACTAGTTCTCCCATCACCAGCTCTGGGTCCACTAGCCCCCCATGGCCCACTAGTTCCCCCATGGTCCACTAGCCCCCATGGCCCACTAGTCTCCCCATGGCCCACTCAACCCCCCCATGGTCCACTAGCTCCCCCATGGCCCACTAGTCTCCCCATGGTCCACTAGCTCCCCATTGGCCCACTAGTTCCCCCATGGCCCACTAGCCCCCATGGTCCACTAGCTCCCCCATGGTCCACTCAGCCCCCATGGTCCACTAGCCCCCCATGCCACTAGGCCCCCCATGGCCCACCAGACCCCACGGCCCACTAGTTCCCCTGTCCACTAGTCTCCCCATGGTCCACTAGCCCCCCCATGTCCACTAGTTCCCCCATGGTCCACTAGCTCCCCATGGCCCACCAGCCCCCATGGTCCACTAGCTCCCCCAAGGTCCACTAGCTCCTCCCATGCCACTAGATCCCCCCCATGGCCCACTAGCTCCCCCATGGTCCACTAGCTCCCCCTGCGTCCTCTAGTTCCCCCATGGTCCACTAGCTCCCCATGGCCCACTAGTCTCCCCATGGTCCACTAGTCTCCCCATGGCCCACTAGCCCCCCCATGGTCCACCAGCCCCCATGGTCCACTAGCTCCCCCCATGGTCCACTAGCTCCCCATGGTCCACTAGCCCCCATGGCCCACTAGCTCCCCTCCATGGTCCACTAGCTCCCCATGGTCCACTAGCTCCCCATGGTCCACTATCTCCATGGTCCACTAGCTCCCATGGTCCACTAGCTCCCCCCATGGTCCACTAGCTCCCCCATGGCTCCACTAGTTCCCCATGGCCCACTAGTTCCCCCCATGGCCCACTCATAGCTCCCCCCATGGTCCACTAGCTCCCCCCATGGTCCACTAGCCCCCCATGGTCCACTAGCTCCCCCATGGTCCACTAGTCTCCCCCATGGTCCACTAGCCCTCCATGGCCCACTAGTCCCCCCATGGCCCACTAGTTCCCCCTCCATGCCCAATTAGGCCCCCCATGGCCCACTAGTTCCCCCCATGGTCCACTGCTCCCATGGCCCACTAGTCTCCCCATGGTCCACTATTCCCCCATGGTCCACTAGCTCCCATGGTCCACTAGCTCCCTCCATGGTCCA